AGCTCGCAGGGTGAGCTTGGGGATTAAAAAGTGCCTGCTTGCAGGCACTTTAATCCACTGAGCTATCTGACCAGCCCTCAAAAAATATTTTCTTATAAAACTAATTAATTAGGATTCTTCATGGAAATTATAAATTGATAGTCACTCATGGAGAAAATGGCTAAATGTATGTATAGTAATGATGATGGTGTTTAATAATGCTTTATAAGATTTTTCTGTTTATGACTAGAAAATGCTTTTTTAAATAATCTTCATATTCATTAACATACACTCCTCAACAATGTATCCTTTGACAGAGTATGTGAACAAAGTTAAATATTTTAAGAAGAGTTTACTAATTCATTCCAATCTAGGGAAGACCGATTTGGAAAGTCCTAATTATGAAAGAGTTCAGAAAGAAAAATGATGCTGATGTATTCAGTAGAGCTAGAAGAATCTAGGACTGGAGAGTTGGAAAACACTTGAGGAGACAAATTAATGTGAATTTCATCTTTTATTGTTTATATATAACTGGCATGATTTTCCTTTCTTAAAAGTTATGTAGCATTTGGACACTCTCAAAACCTAAATTCATGAAGATCATTTTTACTCCATATATTCTCTGCAAACTTTTTCCAGTAGAGCACAGAAATATAAAGGGAATCAGTAGAGACTGTTTCTGCATGTGTCAGCAAAATTTGTACCTCAATTTGGTGAATAATTGTTTCTTTCAGCAAGTGACTTTTACTTTTTTCTTTCAACTTAACATATATTAGGTGAAGTCAGAAGAAGTCTTTGATGAGTGGGTAGCCAAACTCCGTCACCACAGAATGTATCGTCAGAATGAAATCGCCATGTTTCCACGGGAAGTAAATCACTTTTATCCAGGGTCTACCATCACAGATTCCGCACCTGGGGCATTTGACTCCATTTCCAGTAGGAAGGTAATGAGAACTTAGCAATAATTAATCTAAAAGAAAGGGGCGGCTTTGTAGGAGGCGAGGCCCACTTTGAGAGCTGAGTCTGAAGAAAGGTATGTGGGGAGGAGTTAGGAAGTTGTGCTGGCACTGAATTTATCTTACCCACTGAGTCTGTCAGAAGCAGGACCAGATGAGCATCTGTCAACAGTGAGAGAAAGAAGAACAACTTAAAGAACTTCGTGGGGTTCGATCCCTGGCGTGCTGTGCTAGCCCCGCCCCCAGGGCGCACGGAGACAGCCATTGACAGTGGGCGTGCTCGCGCGCGCCTGTAAACCTAACGGTTGGGAGACTGAAAACAGGAGAATCCCTACGAGTTCGATCTATGTAATGAGACTCTGTAGACCCTGTTCTAAATACAAAAAACAAAACAAAAAACAACATCATATCTCAGAAGGCTCTATCTCTTTCTTGACCAGTCAACTTTGGCTTTCTTCCTGGCTATACAGTATAGTAGGTATGTGTATGGCCATACAGAATTGTAGAATATGTCCAAATGTTTATATCATTTGACATAAAAAAAAAAAGGAGCTGTCATCTGAGGTATTATAGTGTGGCATGGCCAGGCTGTGGTGCTAGCCAGAGGTATCAGTGTCTCCCTATAAGGTCTTTACTAGAAGTGTCCTGTTACAAGCAGAAAGCATCCATTAGCATACAATTTGGACTAAAGGACAATTGTCCCTGCTAGTCTCTGTTTTCATTTATAATGTGGTCTCATTCTCTATGGAACAGTGTAGCAGTATATCAAAGCAGAATTCATTTCAAACTGGAAGCAATTTATCATTTTCTTGTGGTGGTGAGGCGCGAGTTCCATTATGGCTACAGTCTTCGGAGGACATGGAGAAATGCTCAAAAGGTAGAGTGATTTGAAACCTTCTCTCTTTTCTGATCTGGCTATGAAGTGAGCTGGTTTTGCATCAGACTTAGCTGACTTTGTATCCTTCCCTTCTCTCTCTACAGTGTTTCCCATACTTTGCTAACTGAGGTCATACTTGTTATCAACAGAAGATACTTTCATTGTAGAGTTTTATATCTTTGCCTGGGTTTGTGTGCAGACTGGCTTCTTTTTCTAGTCTTTTAGTATTTGATTTTCACTTAAGCCCATAAATAAATCTCCAGGGATGGGGCTGTGTAGCTCTGTTTTTCTTAAGAACTAGAAATGATTCTGGTGGACATCCTCAATTGTGACTCTGCCCTAGAGGTGACTGGGTGACCAAATGGAGAGCTCCCCCATGTATGTGTTCTCTATTCTAGCTGTACATTCAAATTACCAAGAGAAACTTTAAAATGCAGGAATACCCATGCTAAGGCCTTTTCTCCTTTTCTCACTGGACTGAGGTGAGCCTTGGGAGCACTGGTGGTTCATAGTTTTCTAGTAGATTTTGTGAAGGAGCTGGGTCGAGCACTCTAACCACAATGAAGCTCAGTGTTCACAACCTAAGACTCAGCCAAAAAATGGAAAGAAAGCTCACCAATGGGTTTGAGAGTGTCTGGGATAGAGCATGGGGATATGTAGTTTTTAAAAATTTCTCCTGCTGATTTTGAAGTGTAGCTATGGTTGAGAACCATATTAAGAAACAATACAAGGTGGTAACCTTGAGAATTGCTCTTTATCTTGTGAATGTATAGATGTGTCCACTGGGGCTGTGCAGTCTTAACCCTTCCAGTAAATATATTCATGGGCTTTATTGATTAACAGCTTGACAAAGTGGCCCCTGAAGTACTGTATCTGGACCAGCAGCATCAGTCCTGCCTTGGGACATACTAGAAATGCGTATTCTCAAACTCAGCCTCGATGTACTGAATCCCAAACTGGGGTTGGAGCCTAAAGATCTATGGCATAAATGCTCCAGGTGACTCTGGTGATAGGAACATTTAAAGCCATAATCCTAAGACCTCTGGGCCTGGATTCCTCAGGAGAAACATTCATCAACATCTAGTGAACCACAAGTGTCGCCTATGGTTAGTGGCTACAACTGTGAGATTACTTGAGCTATCTCAGGTCTGTCTCCAGAGGCTCATCACAGTTTTTATGCAGGTCCATGATCAACAGTTATTTTTAGAGACTGGTACAATTTTATTTTAGTTTTATCCTTTTGATGTAACTAGCCTTGCAAGTGGGTAGCAGCAGCCTGCTGTTGCTGGATTACGAATAACAATGCCATTGCTGCTGTTGATAATAACGATAATGGCTGATTTACTGAATTCTTCTGACAGTCCAGACACTTTTCTAAGTGCTCTCCACATATCAACTCATTAATTCCCTTAACTCTGTGAGCTAGCTATGTAATTGTCTCTGTCTCCCAGTTGAGGAAACTGAAGCATAGAGAAATTATGTCATGTACCCTAGAGTTCAGTGAGTAGATTCAAATGGAGGCAACCGAGTTGTCCAGATCCATTCCATTAACCCTTAGAGTCTGTAGCCATTTTTGTAAAACAAGGCAAAATCTTTTGCCATCCAAATGGAAAATCAAATGTAGAAAAGTAAGAAAAGTCCCTGGTGCCAGCACAGCGATCCCCTCAGTGTCGAGAACTGACCTTCTCCTGCTTCTCTCGTAGACCTGGCGCACTGCCATGCCTACCTGGTGGAGATGAGCCAGCTCCTTCAAAACATGGACGTCCTACACCGCACCTACTCAGCACCAGCCATCAATGCCATACAGGTTCGCCAACCCCTCTTCTGCTCACCTTCTGCCTCTGCTTTCCTTTTACCTCCCAGCCTTGGACTAACAGTGGAATGTTGTCTGTCCTGTTGCTTCAGCCCAGCTCAAGGGGATGGAGGTGGTCACTTTGCTGTGCATTTATCCCTGCAGTTTGGTGGACCTTATTGTCTGTGCTCTCTTTCCTGTTTTAAAAAAAAGGGTGGAGCTTTTGAAAGTCCCAAAAAGGAAAAAAGATCGCACAAGAGGTGGCGGTCCAGAGCTATTGGCAAAGATACTAAAGGAACGCTCCAGGTAACCACTGCCTCCACCTGCAACAGACTGCTTTCCTCTTGGCCTGCTTTGCATGTCCTATGCTAGGGCTGCTGTGACCCCAAGAGGAACCTAGACCATGCGTGTTCCGGAGCTGTTCTCGCTAATATTTTGTGCAGGGGGAAGCATTCCGTACTTAGGTCATGTGGGGATAGGCATAAGGTTCTAATGGACACTGGGGAGAAAGAAGGGATGTTTTCTAAAGAAGATATCATGGAGTCAGATGAATTACTACTGGCTTTCAGCTTCTGCTACTTTACTGTTGAGCCTGCCTGCCCACTTCCCTGGAAGTATGTTCCCTGCTTGTGGCTTCAGAGGCCCAGTGCTGTGACCCACCGTCCTGCTGAAGCTCAGTGGATTTATCTTCCTCTGAGCCCACAGGCCCCAGCCTCCGAGCACAGGACATTGTGCGGATTCTCTTGGCACTTTCCTCCACACTCCCTTACCTCACCACAGGCTCACTGTATTGTGCAAGAAGCTCTCTTTCCCAGGGCACAGCGAAGCCACCGGCCAAGTTTTGCAGGATGACTGTTGGACATTAAATTGCAGCATTGTTAAAAGTCAAAATTAATCCCAAGCTTTTAAAAAATCATCTGATATAATCTTGTGTATGCTTTGGCTCAAAGCACTTATGAGCTGAACTCAACTGCTAGTAAAGTAAATAATGGTCTGTGTACAAATGTGAGTAGTTAGATAGCTTTATAGAAGCCCCATGTGCAAATCAAGAAAAGCATTTTTGAACCTATGCATTGCTAACAGCCTAGTTTCTGGGCAGTCACAGCCAGGAGAAACGAAGAGTATACATGAGAAAGCCCAGCAGTTTTAACTGTGGCTTTCAAATATAACTTTAGCTGTGGACAGTATTTTCCTGAGTTTATATATTTTCTCCTGCCATTCAGTAGAAAGACTCATAAAATGATCCTTCTTAGTAAGCTCTAATCTTAGAATCAAATAAATACTCTGAACAGTCTGTATCTGAACAAGAATCTTTCCCTTTGGTGTCACTTTAGGTCCCTAAACCTTTCTCTGGCCCTTTGAGACTACATTCCTCCAATCCTAATTTGTCAACACTAGATTTTGGAGAAGAGAAAAACTATTCAGATGGCTCCGAAACCTCATCAGAATTTTCTAAAATGCAAGAAGACCTGTGTCACATTGCCCATAAAGGTAAATGGTTTTCTTTCTTCTTCCTGATGTTTGATAAAATGTATAGTGCATGCTTAAATTTGTGCTTGGAGAACGCAGCTGAATCAGTTCATTTTCTGTTACATTAAGCGTTTGGGCTTTTTTTTTTTTTAATTTTTCTGGTAGAAGAGATGTATGAGTTTTCTTTTTAACATTTCGGAGAAACAGTAAAAATGCTTGGTATACAGTTGGCAGAACCTTTGGATCCAACCAGTTGCAGATTTAAAAAGCTGTGTCTGCACCAAACGTACTTGTTACTACTTTTTAGATCATACAGCATAGCAACTGTTTACATAGCATTTACATTTTATTAGTTATTGTAAATAATCTATAGATTATTCAAAGTATATGAAAAAGAGTAATACTGAGTGGTAATAATACTTTAAAAGCTAAGCACTTTGTTTGATGCTGGCGGGAACACAAATTGCTATTTTTCTGGATAGCAATATTATATTACATTCCAGCTATTTTTTTAATTGTCCTATTCAGCATTTCTACTCTGAAGAATCCATTTGTAGAAATTAATTTAAAACTTATCCAAACATATACCGATGAATGTCCATTTTGTATCTGTGTATTCAAAGTGGTTAGGATAGATATATAGTTGCATTCTCTTAATGAATAGAATGATTTGTTCTAATGGTGTTTGTAAATAGGATCACAAGTCCGCATCTTGTACAGCAGTTAACCACTAAGAAGAATATATGCAGTGTATTATTTGTTGAAACTGTACTTCCGATTTGATTTGAAACTGTCTCATTGCTGTTTATCAATAAAACTTTGGAAAAAAAAAAACTAAATATGTCCATTGTTCATTACATCAAAGGTTAGACATAGGTATTCAATGTTGTTAGCCATTTTGGAAATGCAGATTTATCACTGAATACCTGTTAGAATAAGTACCAAATGCTGGTGAGAATACACAGAAACTAAATGTCTCATATATTGCTGGTGACCATGTAAAATGATGTGGCATTCTGGAAAATGGTTCGGCAGTGTTAAATAAAACTAAGTGTGTATTTAGCATAGAGCCCAGCACTCATGTTCCTAGATATTTATCTCAAAAAAGTGAAATTTTAAGGGCCAGTGAGATAGCTCAGCAGACTGAGTGCCTGCTTAAGCAAGCACAGGGACCAGGGTTCAATCTCTGGTATCACATGCTGCGCTGGCCCCACCCCAGGCACACTGAGCCAGCCACCAAGTCCAGGCGTGGTGGCACACCCCTGTAATCCCATCACTGGGGAGGTGGAAACAGGAAGATCACTATGAGTCAAAGCTGCATAGTGAGACCCTGTACCGAATACATTAAAAAAAATAATTAAAAGAGAAATTTTATGTCCACAAAAAAACGTATTCACTAACATTTACAGCAAGTTTATTTGTATTAGCTGAAAATTAGAACAATTCGTTGTCCTCCAACAGTTAAATGGTTAAACAGCCTGTGATCCATCCATACTACTGGTCAGCAATAAAATGGGACAAACCACTGTTATATGCAATGATGCAAATTGACCTAAAGGACACTACACTGAGTGAAAATAGCCAACCTCTAATATTTACAAAGTATGTGTTTCTGCTTATAACTCTGAAAATGATATCGAGAGGGAGAATTTGGTGGTTACCTGAAGTTAGGGAAGAAAACAGAGGAGGAATGTGAGTGTGATTATAACATGTTTTGATAGTGATGCCAAATTCTGTATCCTGATGGTGGTGCTGGTCACAACAATCTGCACACGTGATGAGACTGTATTGACATTCTGTCCACACATTACAAATGAGTGTGTGAATGTGGTGAAATCTTGTCCTGGTTTTTATGTTGTGTACTACTTGTGTAAGCTGTTAGCATGTAGAGAAACACGCATAGGCCTAGTAATGTGAGACTTTTTATATTTGTTTTGAGTTTTTTGTTGTTTTTATTTTGAGATGGGGTCTTATGTTATCCATACAACTTGAAAGTCTGAGCTCGACCTTTCAGGCCTCCTGCTTTAGCCTCTTATTTGAGTGCAATGATTAGAGACTTGCAACCCTACTCCCAGCTTTTGCAATGTTTTTGCAACTTCCTGTGAGTCTAATAAAAGTCCAGAATAAAAATAAGAAGTAACCTAAATGTCTAAGAAAAGGGGTTGGAGTCTTTTTAAACGCAGTATTATTATACCATAGAAAAACTCAGCATATATAATAGCTATGTTATATTGAACAAGCAGCCATTATGTCAGGCATTGTTAAGTACTTTATATGCATTGTTTCATTTAATTCTAGCATAAACACATGGGATAGGTAATACTGGTATCTGTTTCATATATAAAAAGTGAGGTTTAGAGAAGCTAGAGGCCTTCGTAAGGGCCATGCAGCTCCAAAGCAGCTAGCCTGAGACTTGAATACTGACCTGCTCCACTCTAGGATACCTTTCCTGATATCACACTGCCCTTATAGATGAGATAGCCAGGATTCTTATTTATAGATTTACGAAAGATTTACATTGGGTTGAATATAAGGTTTAAAGCTATATAGGTATAATCCCAATTTTTGGAACAAAATAAGTATACTTCTGGCATATATGAGCACACTAAAAAGTCTAGGAAAATGTACACTAGTATTTTAGTGATGGAGGCTGGAGTTGTATTTACCATTTTTGCTTATCTTTTAAATAAAATTTTTATATTTGCTTAAAGAGGAAATGAATTAAAAGGCTTTAAGTGGGAGGGTAGCATTTGAGGTGGAAGGAAAAAAGATATTCTCACTGTTACCTTCTTTTCTTCATGCCATATTTTCTTTCCTTTGTATTATTTTTTTCCTTTGTATTATTGATTCAAATGTAAAACATGTTGGCTATAAGGAACCTATGTCATGCTTTGTATAGATTACTCCCTCTGACTTTTATCTTAGTCACCATTAGAATTTCTCAGTGGTTTGGAATTCAGTAGAGTTGTATATTTAGAGAGACACTCCCTGGCCCACTCCTTGAAAGCTCTTGAAATGTATTCTTGAAAGAATTCTGTCTGGGTTACTCTTCTCTCATTGCTGGGACAAATACCCAATACCCAAAATGAAGGAAGGAAAGGTTTATTTAGCTCACAGTTACTGGAGGTTTCAGTCCATATTCAGCTGGCTCCAAGGCCGAGTGGTACACGGCAGAGGGCAGCAGTTCATGGAGGCAGAAAGCAGCAAAACAGCAGAGTAGAGTAGTGGCAACATTGGCAACACAGGAAGTCTGTTTCTCTCTTATGTTACATTCAGGCTATCTGCCTCAGGCTGGGTGTAGCTTTCATAATCCCAGCAGTACTAAGACCCATAATTCCAGTGGATCATAAATTAATTTCAAACTCTAGAAGTCCCCGCCCCATGAGGCTTTGGGGGGGGGGACAACTAGACAGAAGCCATAACAAATACCTTTGGTTATTCTTCAGAATTCAGAGAATCAGTTACAATTAGAGCATTATAGGTTTTAGGGGAAGACATTCCTATAAAACTCTATTTTTAACAATATGACTTTTATTTTTTTTTTTTTTTAAATCAGTGAGAAAACAGTGCTTCCCTGCCAAAGGGAGAAGCTCTGGCTTTCCACTCATGTTGCCAAGCTACTTCTTCAATGGAGCAGTAGTGGCCCTATTAAGTGACCCATCAATCTGGTCCTCCTGCAGAGGTTTTTACCTTGCTGCGTCTATAATGGGCTCCCAGTCAGCTCCTCTGTCTTTGGGGCTTTGTGAAATCAGCTGGGTACAGCACTGCCAGGCATCCGGGTGAGGCCAGGGTTAGTGCCCCAAGGAAGGTCCAAGTGAGTGTGTTTATTCAAGAGCTGCCTGAGCTCCCTGGGCTTAGAGGATGACTTCCATAGGGGAGCCTGAGGAGATGCATTGTGCTTCTGATCGATTTGAAATACTCTTGCCGAGACTGAAAGAGCTTCTTATCACCCTTTTAAGAAGTCTCTTTTACACAGGTGCTATTTTAGGAACCCTGTGGAATAAAGACAGCTTTCAGGTTTGCCCCAAGTCCATGACCTTGTGTGATTTCACTCTGGCATGCTTGGAATGCAAAGCATTTTGACCTTTCTTCCTGTATAAGCCTGGTTTTGTTGCTGGCAATGCCTATGGTACTGTTTTGACTGCATCTGTATTCTGTTGACTATAATGCTGAAGCAGCTGAACTAAAGGCAAGAACCCCACTGGTATAATGCAGTCTGTGTGAATTTAAACTTGTTAAATTTATCTGAATTGTCTTCATTTTGTAGATCAAGTGGTAAGCAACTAACATATACCTATCCTAGTTTTAAAAGTTTGTGTTCTATGTGATAGACTCTTAAGCTTGAGTTTTATGACCTACAATGAACTCATTCCCATGGTTCATGTTTCTAGCTTTGTGTATGTGTTGGCACCCATATAACAGAACAAAATATATTAATCCTAAAAGTCATAAATAATTTTAATTTTGTATATTAGCTTTTAAATTTCCCCAAACATGTTTTATAGAACATTTTATCCATAAAGTACTTAAAAATCAAAGTAAGGCTAGCATAATTAAAAATGTTTGGAATACACTGCTAGCTATGGTTCTCTTTGGATTTATACTGGGGATTATAGATAGTAAAGTCCCTGAGTAGTCCTGCAGTAGACAACCTGTTAACTATACCTGAGTGAGTTTGCATGTTATTTAGGAAGGTCCCCACTGCCCCTCAACACCTCCAGCTGGTAATATCCTAGGACTGAAGTCCTCAAGAACCATTCTTTTTTTTTTTTTTTTTGTGGCTGGCTCAGCCCATCCTGGGGTCAGGCTTGGCACAGCATGTGGTGCCGGGGATTGAACCACAATCCCTGTGCATTTGTCTAAATTTACCTAATCAGGCATGTTAGACCATTGAGCAATCTTGCCAGCCCCAAGAACCATTCTTCAGGAAACATTGTAAATAATAAGCCTTCTTTGAAGGTGACCTCTATGTTACTGACTTGCTGGGACCTTGACTTCTCTGGCCAACCAGCCCTCAGTTG